TTTTTTTTTTTTTTTTTTTTTTTTTTTTTTTTTTTTTTTTTTTTTTTTAATTATCGGCCGTGGCCGAACCAGGCCGCGGCCTACGTGCAACATAGCCCATGAGGGCTGTCGTCCTGCTTCCTTCGAAGTTGAGGGACCCTGTGTGTGTTCCTCTTGGTTGCTTTCCTTTACCATACGGCTTTCTGTAACAACGCTACTTTCCTATCCAGTGTTCTCTGTAGGGAGACCTTCCTGTGCTTCTCTCATGGTCCCCTTTGCCTTTGCCGGCTGCAGTGGAGGAAAGTCCTCCTTCTCAACCATGGGATGTATGTCACTCTCCCCACTCGTGTTTGGCGTTTCCTGACAAGGTTCCTTGATTGGGTGATGTCTCACGGGGGGAGTGGCCAGCAGTTCCAGGGCTGCCTGTCTCATGGCTCCTCTGAAGAGGAGCATTGACTCCGCTCTTTTATGGCTCTTCTGGGGCCTGGCCATGATCCCTTTCCCTTGTGTTATTGCCCTTTGTCCTTCTCCTTGTTTTTGTGAATTGCGAACTGTGAACTGTTATTATTATTTTTTTTTTTTTTAAACTGGTTTCTCTTTTGGAATTTCCTTTTCCTTTCTGATATGAATGGTCATGCGATTTCCTTTTTTGCGCTGATGGCCGCTGGGGGGGACAACGGGTTAGGGGGCAGGGCGGGGTTCCCGAAGGTGGGCAAGGAGGTGACTGATACGCTGTTTACCAATCCTTATATTCTCAGCCGTTCGTGCCGTGTCTTAAGCTCCTTCTCCTTCGCCCTTGGTTGTTGTCCTCGCTCCCTGATCCTCGTTTGCTGCCGATTCGCTTCTCCCTTTCTCCTTTCACCCGGTTTCTCGATCTTCGGCTGAGTATACCCCCCTCTCGCACTCCCCCTGCTCCCGTCCTCCCCTTGGCTCGTAGTTCCTCCCTCTCTTCTCCCCTTCCTTGCTTCCCCGCACTTTTTCTACAGAGACTGTCTACCAACCTCTGACCGTCTTTCTGTTGATCCGTACCGCAGGCAGAACGACCAACACTTCCCATATTCCTGTCTTATCTTCTACGCGTTAGCTGAGCCCTTTTCCCGCTTGCTAGGAGAGATTCGGCGGTATCTTCCAACCCACGAAGGGAGATCTGTGAGCAGGGAGCTTGTCGTTGGTAGGACAGGTCTCAGTGAAGGTGGAGAAGGCAGGTGGCGGCGGGGGTAGGGGGGTGGAGCCGGGGGACCCTTCGATCAATCAATCAATCCAGCAGTCAATTTGATCGATCCAAACAGTCTAAACACTCAATCGATCGATCAACCAATCAAACAATCAGTCAATCAATCAATCAATTGATCGACCAATCACTCAACATATCATCAGCAATTCCCCTGCGTGGGCCCCGACGATAATAGGGGGAGGTCGCCGACGTCTCACGGGACCGGAGGGGCGATCGTCAAGCTGGGGGGTGACTGCGGTCTCGCCGGCGATGGGGTGGGATGCGGTAATAACCAGGATGCTGGCGGCGATATTTGGAGGCAGGGAGTAACAGGGGGGTGGGTGCCGGCGATGGGGTGGGATGCGGTAATAACCAGGATGCTGGCGGCGATATTTGGAGGCAGGGAGTAACA